CACCAAGGAGATTACAAAGTGCTTGTACAAGGATCTTTAAATCCACAATCAACTAGCAAGTCTTTCAGAATATCAAGAATTTTAAGAACACTCTCGTATCTCACACATATATATAGAATGTACTAGCTAGAGAGAGTGTTGTATCTAGATAAATGATAGAAAACCGGGGTATGTTAAAATGTTGGGGCCAAATGGTTATTTATAACCAAACAAAGAGTAGGGAGCAAGCTTGGAGGATGAGTAGTGAGCAAGCATGGCAAGAGTAGGGAGCAAGCTTGGTGGAGTAGTCACCAAGTTTTGATGAGTAGTGACCAAGTCTTGGTTTTACTGATTTGGTCACGAGTGCAGCATCCATAAACACAAGTAATATATATTATATTACAACATCTTGGTATCAGAGCATAGCGAAATATATTTTATATTACAACACAAGTATTATCTACTTGTTATGATCAACAATTAGAACCTAGGATCCAACACAAGGTATAGCCTAGACAAATATAAAACATAGAACAACGGTAGTTCACCATCCATGCATCATATTTCCATCAAGTCTTCTTGCATATCCAGGAACAGGACAAGTTTCTTTGCAATCCGTCAAATTGATATTGATAATGATAATTTCCTTCACTCAAAATTTTGTTAAATATAATCAAGTTTACCGCTGTGTAAGCTTGTAGCACAATATGCTATATGAAAAATAGTAAATACTTATCGTGTGCAATTTCAGTGGGGAGTGTACGACGAAGTTGGAATTTGCAAAAATGAGGATGCTTAGATGGACTTGTGGTCGGAGCATGTTTAACAGAATATTGCACAAGGTCTTTTGGGCAGGAGTTGCGGCTATCATGGATAAGTTACGGGAGGGAAAAATGCCGTGGGTTGGTTACGCTTGTAGGAGAAAAATGGCGGCTACAGTGAGGAGAATAGAAAGTCTGATGGTCAAGGGGACTAAGAGAAGGGGTAGGCCGATGCGGCTTTAGGCTTTTCCGCGGACATGACTTCTGATAGGAATACTTGGAGACACGAGAGTAGGGTAGCAGACTAGAGGTGGGGATCTATAGTTAGTATAGACGGGAGGAAGGGAGCTGGGGAGGCAGAGGGTGGGGGTAAGGTTAGTGAGACGACAGTTAGGTTGTTAGATCTTGAAGTTAGACTAGGGGTATGTAGTTTCCTTAACTTGGCTATGTTTTCTTGTACCTGCATGGCCGCTTCAGTTTGTATGTTGTTGCTTACTCATAACTAATTTTCAAAATTTATCTATCTGCCTTTCTTTTCACAAGTTCTTTTTCAAAGTCATCCTATTTTGGGATAGCTTTCTCTCTTCCACATGCTTTTCACAAGCTGGGGTCTTCACAAAAATAGTCGCTCTAGTCTATGGGGTAGAGGTTAGGTTTGCTTACAACATACCCCCCAGACCCCACCTTCGGGTTAGAGAAAGGTTGGTTTGTGAATGCCATGACCATATTTCAAAATATAACACACTTTCAATCATAAACATATACTCAAGATCATGAGCTTGCCTGATTGAAATACCAGAAGTTTGCCTCCTGTACTCTTCATCGCCAAAAAAGCACCCTGAGTGGAAGAGAAGTAATGGTTACAAAAGCATAACAAAGCAATGCTAAAAATATATTCCGTCTTTGATACGAACTCCCATGTTAAAACAAATCCCATCAAGCATAATATAAATATACTACCACCCTTTTAATGTGCAAAAAGCTGAAAGGCTATGGAAGCTCAGTGTGGCATAAATGGTTCACAGGGATCGTATGAAATAATTCATAACTTTATATTTAGTTCGCCTTTCTACGGACATCTTGTGCTGCTTTTAATGGAGTAAGGGGTATAAATTAAAACGATTTTTAGTACCTGCATCCCAGCACCAAAAGCTGAATCAGCCATTTTATTATTCTGGAACATAGTTGGGATGCTTTCCAGCAACAGATCTAGATGCTGACGACACTGTGATATCAAACATAAAACACTTGCAATCAGTTCTCAATATTGAAAATACAAAAAACATTCAACCTAAGATACGGACATTTATCACAAACACCAAAGCAAGTAGAGAAAACTGATAAGATGTTTATATTCTGCATAACTAACCTCAGAAAGTTGAACAATAACATCAGTGGGGAGAGGAGTGTAAACATCTTGTATGTCAGGAACTATGAACATCAATGGCTGCAATAAAAAATGCACAAGAACATGAGCACATCCAGCAAAAATCTCTTTTACCAGTTTATATTTTCTGCTTTTGGTCATCAACCAATAACCATTAGAAAATTTTCTGTATCTACACTCTTACGACTTTTCCCCCGGCTAAATGAATATTTCTGCATTCCTTAATTGCGTTTAGAAGCACACTTTTTATCATGTATAATCATATTTTAACTGCCAAATGGGACCTTGGTAAACCAAACCAAAAGAAGCCAATATATCCCATGGAGAGGTGGGTCCAGGGGCTAGGACGTACCTAGGCCTTTCCTTTACCCCAAGGGATAAAGAGGCTGTTTCTGTAAAGACCTCCGACGTGCAATTCAATTGTTAATTAGGGGAACAAGAAAGAAAGCTACAGGCGAGAAAAATAGCTGAAGATTGTGTGCAAACAAGCAACAGGTTCAATAAACAGAAAAGGCACAAGGGACAAACGGGACCTTAGTCTATGGACCTTTTCCGAACCAAACCTCCCAACCTGCGTTGAAAGTGCCAAAACCTTGCTCAACCAGGGTGTTTTCATATAGTGTGTTCTTCCCTTCTCTTTCTCGCCGGGTTTCTTAACTGCTGGGTTACCTTTATTATCTTTACTTGGTTTCCATGATTGTCTCATCCATCATAATATCTCATCAATATTACACCCATTTGACAACACTACTGCTATTGTTGGTCCAATAGTGGTGCTGCATGATTTGTATTGACTTGCTTCCAGAATTTTTTTAAAGATTAAGGTAGGTACCAGTTCTATGATGCAAAGCTGCAAACTAACTCAATTCAAGAAAAAAATTGAAGTAATCCACAGAAGTATGGGATGTTTTATTCAGAAGCCAGCTTTCGTGAGGCTGGAACTCTCCCAGCAATTCTTCTTTACAAATTGTATACCCGAAAATAATACCCCTTTCTCTCCAGCCCTCTTCCCTATTTATACTAGCTGCTAACCAACTTAACATACCAACTAACTGACTCCACAGCCTAACTGATTTTAACAACCAGTTGACTCAACCGCCTACCCTAACTGATTTTAACATCCTGCTGTTGTTAAAAAACCTCAGCCGTTGTTATGAAAATGGCCCTGCTCTTTTCTTATTCCTCTGTATACAAGTCATGATTATTTTGGGTCTAACATTCCAACTTATGAATGGTATAGGCTTCATTTTACAGGAGTAGGAGTCAATCCTTGTGCAACATTTTTAGTTATTTCAGAATCTTAAGCATAAAAATTCTTGCAGTCTATCTTTATATCTCTGGGCTTCATGAATTTAGGGGTGAACGGTGAATCCTTTACAGGGTTTTACTAGTTGATCTTTTTTATTTAGTGATAAGTCAAATCAGGAGTCTATTCCCCTCGTTATTATTACTACAAAAGCTAACTAGTTAAGATAAATTTAGACACCCTTAATTCATCAACTTCTTATCAGAACCCACTTAACATATATGTGCATGTTGTTGAACCCATAAGTATATACTACTTCCTCTTTATGTGGGCACTTAATGCATGACTTTTCCTGTTTCAATTTATAAGGTCGTACCATTTCATGTAACATATTGAAGGACATTGCACAAAAGATTTGCAATAGAATGTACACAGGATTGTGGGATAGAAAGTAACTTACGGTCACAGGATCTACTAAGTTTAACGCTCTTTATCACATGACCATGCATATTCATCAAACCCATAATTTCAATGTTAATGAAATTTAATCATTCATGATTCAACAGTTCAAGTTATCTGTTATCTTAGTAACCTGCTGCAATGCACGTTTCAGATTGTAAAAATGGATGGTCGAGTCAAATGTAGCAATTCCCACCAGTGTCAGAGGACCCTCCTGCACCAATCAGGTTATTACAAATCAATACACTAACTTTGAGGGAGATTACAAACAGAGAACGCTAATATTGTAAGAACTTTGGAATTCTGATTCATAGGCAATAGAATAAATGAAAGACAGCATTCACAATAGCCATGTTAGATATCTAATTGTGTTCCTAGAACTATGCCAAGTTTCTTAACTTTTAGCCACCTTTGGCAATGTTATCATTCTCTTGCATGAGTGAAATAAAGAAAAGAATTTGAATAAAAAATCCAAAAAACAAGTGAGGACTTCATTATGATAACTTTAATACCATTTGCCTTAATGAGGTGACTAGTTTTGGAACACTTGCCTTTAACTTTACAATTTAAACAAAATGGGAACCTACACACTAATGAAAACAGCATATGATAAACTGCAACATGGAAACCATATTGATTGCTAGAACTAAAAAGGCCATAAGTGTGGCATGCTCAAAAGCTATATGCAACACATTTGAGTATATGTTGAAATCAACATGAACACACCGGGAGATCAGCAATAACCCGGCTGATAGCGCTGCAAGCTCCTGCTGTAGCACCAGTATGTATGGCGTTCATTGATACATCAATGAGAAAGAAAAAGATAGCTGGCATTGGCTCACGCACCTGGGAATTGTACAAGAATATAGAGAATCACTTAAATGGCATTACATAATTCAAGGGTATACTCTTTCAGATGCACCAGTTTGCACAACATTAACAACACTACCAAAAAAGAAAACTATGGTTGTCACTGATCTGATCGTAGATGAAATCCAACCCCTGTAAACCCAGAGTAATAGCATGATGAACCAAAAAGTCTCCAGGACCTATTGTTAAGAATTGTGAATTACTATTCTCATACTGAAACGCTTCAACTTTTTAGTTAACAATAAAGACCTAAAAATTACTGAACAGGCATGGGATAATAGTACAATTGAAGGGACAAATGACAGAACATTAGCAAGAATTCTAACCAGATATTCTCTTGTAGCAACAAATTCAACTGTTCCTCTACATAGCTCAGGCCTTTCATCAGCATCTCTCCGCCTGCCATCTGGACCTAGATTGCACTGATATTCACGGGGAGTTTTATCCGTGAAACCTGCAAAAGAAAGCACAAAGCAGTGTAAGAACCATGATACTTACAAATAGATGTTCAAAGAATAGAAGTCACATCCACCATATCAGTGCTATTACATAATTTCAAATATACTAAAAAATGTTACCTACCTGTAACAAAACATAATTTGCACCACGTTTCCTTACTCTCTAACACAATGAAACTATATAATCATGCATTGCACATATTAAAGAGCGCCACAAGCTTGCACTTATCTAGCTAAATCTAAAAGTCAGCTTCTCAAAAACCACCCTTGAAGAAGGAAAACCGAGTATTGGAGCAACATCGCAATAGCATACCATCAGTCAAACTACATCAGCTACATAATAAACCGTCTCTTTGACCAACTACACTACCTAAGATAGCAACTAGTGTAATTTGGCAATAAGATTGCAGTATAATGTCATTCCAACTATACATCATGTGCAAAGGGTCGACAACAGAAATATCAACACTCACCACAGAGGTTACAGATAAATCGTTTTCCCTGATCAACAAACTTCATGAATGGATTAATGTAGCATTTGCAACGGGAACAACGAACTGGTCCACTTTCACCAAAATCCACAATCTGAAACAATATTCACATTTAGCATAAGAGAAAACATAATATATAAATGGTTAAGCTACCATCTTCAATGTTACTATCACAAACTATAGAACTACCCATTTTGTGAAGACTACCATCACGCCATCTAGCAGTATCTTTACAGCTTGGGGAAATCGAGAAAATCCTTTGTACTGTAACTCTATTGATGCAGTGGGTTCCTGTCTATTCCTTCTACTGTTATATCTATCTTTTATTTGGCACTTTTCTCGCCCTCTTTCTAGTGAATTTCAATTTTTATTGCCTTTGGTTCTGGTCTCTGTATGGAACACTAATTTACTTGACAAAATTGTGTATCATTTGTAGCAGAAGCATTTCAAAGACACTAGTCCAAAGCATGCAACCTATTGATTGTAAGAATATAAAGCACAAGGTTGTGCATATTTTCAGATCCATGATACACCTTGACAGCATTTATGGAAGCTTTGAGTTATAAGGTTACACACCACCACCTGCCTGCCTGAGCAATGCAGAGAGTAGGGTGATATATAATGAGTTACAACAGAACTATAAGCTTATATGGATTACTTGGATAGGCTCCTCAGATGGATGAGGAAGGGAAAAGGGCTGGACCAACAAAGCCAATTGCATGCCAGACGTGGTCAAAAGATCAGAAGTGCAAGGAATCTGTTCAACCAACAGAAAGTTCTACATTAAACAAAGCATCAAGCAATTTCAGATACAAAGTAAACGAGAAAGAAAATGCATATTACCTGATTAATAGTACACCTCATGTACCGGGGACTACAATTTCCAGTATCCCTTACGATGAATTCGCTTGTAGCAGGCTTCAAGACAAAAAAAAAACCCACAGAATATGTGAAATTGGATACAATTACTTATACAACTGAAGCCGGGAAGGACAATCCTCATGGCAAGAGTGTACATGGATAGATACAAGCCACCACCTTAGAATTTAAGCACGCTGATGGAAGCTATGAATGAAAGAACATTAAGATGTGCTGAAATAAATACCGGTGGAGGATTTGCCTGGTTTCCATGGCGAGTCTCATGCAAAAGCACAGAGGAGTTTGGTATAGGGCGTGGAATTTGGTTAGGATCAATCCTTGACAGTCCAGTACCTGCAGCTCCAGCAGGCCCCATAGTAGGTGATATTGTAGCCATTGCTTGTTGATTAGGAAGTGGTGAAGCCATGCCGAACATTCTTGGCGGTTGAGCAGAACCAGAAACCGGTGGAGGTAGCACATTCTAAAAGAAGTAAAAATATTCATAAGTTATTTTCAACATGAAAGTGATGAAAAGGAGAACATTTAGCCACACATACATGCAAACCTTTCCTCAAAACACAAAGAGCTAAAGGTACTTTCCAATGTCATGTGGCAGTCTCATTTTAACGAGTTTAAAAGCATAGGACAAAGACTACTTAGTCTTATTCCTCACGAGTCACGACAGAAGATAGACAATTGTAAAGAACTTCTGTTCGCAACAAAAAAAGGTACTAGAAGAGTCATTAACAATTTGTACAATTAGGACCTTATGTTCTAAGAACTTCCATTAGAGCGTCTCCAATTGTAAAGCTATCAATAGCTTTTTACTATTTCAATTCATGTTAATGACTTTTTACCATTGGATCTGATAGTTTTTCTCTATAATCTTTTTCAGTTACTTGAGATTCCTCAAGCCTATGAAAAGCTTTTTACTATCCCTCTCTCCAGTTAAGCTTTTTGCCATTGGAGTATATTGAGAGAGAAAACATTTTTGGATGTTGCAAAGTGAAAGTCTTTAAGAAACTTAAGACATTGGAGATGCTCTCAGCAACAACAAAAAGTAGTAGAAGATTTTCTTTAACTCAAAAGGTTTAGTAGAGTATTCCAAAACTTATCTGTAACTCTTAAAAGGATTGTAAAACCAGAAGTGTTGGCATTAGAAGGCTTGATGCATTTGCCACTGTTGCAAGAGTATATTTTTCCAATCAGTTAGTATTCATAATTCTATTTTTATAATTGTACATTTTGGCAAATTTACACAGATTAGGATTTTTATCCATGCATTAGGGTTTTTAATTAATATGCACATGCTAAAAAACAAATTAGAGTGACTAGGGATTCCACTGCTCATTTAGGATATTTATGGTTGTAAAAAATGCTTGAGGCGCTGGAAAATCGAGTCTGAGGACGCGCCTCTCATGGGTTGTTGAGTCGTATACCTCAACCCTGAGGCGGTGCTAAGGCAGGAATTAGCAATTAGGGTTTAAAAATAAGCCTATTCTCTTGCTGCTTGTAGTTTTCATTTTTCTTCTCCAACGTCTTCGCCAGTCACCCAATTTGAAGAGCATCACATATATACATAAATATATTATTTCCCACTTTGAAGAGTATGTAGTGTGTGTATATATATAAAAGTTCTTCTATAGTCCCCCACTATGTATATATTTAGTGTATATATATTTTGTATTACACATACAGATATGTATATGTGTATACAGGGTTGTTTTCGTGAGATCTGTGACACCATTTTTTTACACTTGAAACTTTACAGCGAAAACACTGTGAAGGTAAAAAAATCTAAACCTTCACAGCATTTTTATAGGTTACCTTCACAGCATTTTACTGTAAAGTTTCAAGTTACCGTAAAATTTCAAGTGTAAAATTATGGTGTCACGGGTCTTACGAAAACATATTAGCCTCACATGATCCCAAGTCTATATATATATATCTCGAGGGCTGATTCCACTTTTTAAAACCTTGGGATATTAAAGTCTTCCGAGTTGAAACAGGATTTTCTTTTGTCTTACACAGAAACATAATCTCACAGTTGCATAAACTCTGTAGATTTTTTCAATCAATGAACCATACCTACTATCTGGGCTGAGTGGATCAATATTTGGGCTGAGTGGATGAATATCTGGCCTTGTACGATTGCATCTTAGAGCATCTCCAATAATTCTCCAACAATCAAAATCCCAACAATCTCCATTTTAATATTACAACATTAATTATATCATTAAATATTCAATAAAAATATTGTTTTTCTTTAAACATTTAATTTTAATGATTTGTATTGGTTGGAATAATAAAAAACAATCTCTATGATTAGGAATCAAGAGTTCTTTAAATTTGGAGAAATTTACCCTCTATTTCCTACATTCAGCCATGACCATTGATACAAAATGTAGCTCAAGTTATCTGGAAGTTTAATTTTCTAAAAGTTATATGTTACATAATTTTCCTGTCCTTTTCAAGCATACGTCAATCAGAAACATGTGCTTAAATTTTCCAACCCTAATTAAGTTGATTACGACAATCATTGCCAACTTCAGTACTTCACCCTCCCATAATAATTTACTGAAGAACCAGTCACCTTGTAACATTTATCTTGGTGGGAACTTAATAAAGTACTCCTGTAGCCCTTGCTGAAGCTAAATTCCATTGAACAACATATGATCATTTACTTTTTGGGTGCTGTCAGTTTCAATGCTCTATATCATGACGAACTATTCAGAATTACAAGCTTCTGCAGATGCAACTGTAAATAGTCATACACTCATTGTATGTTCCAGTAGACAGATCTGTATTCTAGGAACAATCGATCATGACTCACCTTGTAATTTTGCATGTATATTCTTATTTGGTGATTTCACTTACAAGACACTCACTTCCAAGCCTGAAAGAAATACCATACCATCATTTCTTCAGATTTCTTCAACACAGTCATCGCCCCCACACCAATTCTACTTTCGCTATCAGCACTCATGCAATAGCTAATATTTCAAGATTCATTCAGGTTAGAAAATTCCATCATAAAATGGCTTCAAGTGTTCTACTTCTTAGTTCCCGAGAATTATAGTTAAACCATTCAACTAATGTCCATGTCCAAGTGTAGGTTTTACACTTAACATGGTTAACACCCTTATTCGTTCTTTCTTTGTGTGATTCAGTAAACCGCATTATTTGACACCAATTTAGCTACTTTAGCATCAGGGTTACTCATAGCTATATACTTAATTTTCCTCATTGTCTTTTAACTTCACATATGCATTGCTCATGCAACAAACATAGCATGATATGATGCTAAAAATTAAAATTTCCACAATTTATCCTTAAATCATTTGAGATAATCGTTATACACCATCCATCGTACTAATATATTCCTCAATGAGTTGTGTCTCCATGTACTTGCGAATAATTAAATAATTTATGGATCTCTAAATTGAAACTGTAATATTATTTATGCCTTTGCCTCTTGGATGCAGCCGTGCCTTTATTGCATGAAAGTCCCACCATCTCAATTATCTGTTATTTCAACATAACATGATCCCAGATGTCCTATCCAGGTATATGAAGTCTTTTTAACTAGAACTTCACATGGTTAAATTGAATCTTCTTTTCTTGCTCTTGTGGTGTGACCCAATTTTTTATGGTTATACGTTAACAATATATATGATTGTCATCCTGTCCTGTGCGACTTACAGATTCAGTTGCAGGTAACTAAACCATAATACTAGCCACCATTCCATCTATCTTATCAGTCGAGTCGATCCCACATTTGTATATATAAGCATGTTAATTGTTTCAAGTTCGGATCATAATCTGATACTCAGCTCAACAGAATGGCTCATGTTTGGGTACCATTCATTCACTAAAGCCTTGTGCACTTTCTTCTTTGGTTATGTGGGTGAAGAGTTGGGGCAGTTGGTTCAGTAGTGATGGCATTGCAAGCTATTTTTAGCATTTACATTTCAGTTATGTTTAACCTCAATGTGATTCGTATGCATCTTCGAGACAGCAGCTCTCCCCCCCCCCCCCCCCCCCCCCCCCCCCCCCTTCTGAATTATAACCCCAATGAATCTTTTTGAGATGCAAAATGAATACAATTTCATCTTTTTACCACAAAAAAATACTACAATTTACCATATACCCTTTAAAGAGATTGAGTGCCAGTGCTAAGTTAGATTTCTGCTGCCTTTGGTAGGCGGTAATATTACAACTTCCAAGAGAACGGAAACCACCTGGGAATAAAATAGAGCATACCTTAAAGAATGTACTCATGCATGTAGTATATTTTTTCCCATTGGGGGGGGGGGGGGCGCTGCTTTCCTTGTTCCATCAAGAAATGTAATGGAAGTAATACACCCCTTAAATCTTGAGTAACAGCATCTCATCTCTCTCTCTCTAAAGTTCTTTTCTATGTTTTTATTTTATTCAAAAATTATCAACAGAAAAAGAAATTTTGTTTTTGTTTTTAACCGATCTCACTTGGGTTTTTCTTGATTAGAAAAATAATAATAATTTAAGGAAGAAGCTTTTTAACAATGGAATAAATGTGCTTTTTCAATGATATTACTGTTAGGGGACTAGGACTATCAGTCCTTGATGCAGATAGGATCGCTAAAATTCTTCCCAAAGTTCATTATTTTTTTAAATCGGTATAGTTGTTTTCTTCATTTTTTGACACGGCCATAAGTTTTGGGATTCCTAGAAAATGGGTTTGTTTCGATGATTATATGGAGAAGAAAGCGAGGGAGGGAGAAGAAGGAACGACATATATGAAGAGAATGACTGGTTGAAGTCTTAATAGTCTTGTTTTAAATTTGTAGCATTTCGTTTCTAGATTAATAAAAGTATGCCAAAGACTTTGAGTCAGAGCTCCATAATATTTGAACCCTTTCTTTCAAATGTGCCAAACACACCCTGAGTGGTAGGATCAGCTTAATGGTCTTAGTTAATCAAAACTTCTCATAAATGAGACAATTTCCACCATTTAACATTTAAAAGTGACAATCGAACTAACTTGGAATCATTACACTGTAATGGTATGAGCTGATCATCGTATAAGATAAAATCCTGTGATATGTGGTGAAGCACCGAGTATGGAAAACTTATTGAGCAAGTTGGCAATACTCCAAACAAGCAAAAGGTAGAGCTCAATAAGAGACCAGTAAACCACCCCTATAGACATGTCACAGAAAGATTATTTATTCGCTGGCAACAGATCTTATCACTACTAAAAAATCGGGTTTTTCCGACGGCAAAATCCGTCGGAAATCCGTCGGAAAAACAACTTTCCGACGGATTT